CCTTAACCTTACTACTACTACTACTACCTACTTACTTTACGTTACTACACCAACCAACACAGTAACTAACGAACGGAAGAAGTAGGTAGTACGTACTCTCACTACTACTCTCTCTCTCTCTCTCTCTCTCTCTCTCTCTCTCTCTCTCTCTCACAGACACACACACACACACGCATGCACAAAACACAAGAAAAAAGTACTCAGAAATATGGAATAAGTGTATCCAACAACTTCTTATGATCGGTTTCTAAAACAAGCTTATCTAATATCAAAATCTTCATAAATCATTCTCAGTAAACATACAGAACATCATGGAAGGCAAGATGTATCAAGAAAAATATACGAAAAATTATCTGCTCATCAATCAACAAGAAGAAAAAACAAGAGAGAGAGATTCGTAAAAGCGTGCAAGCAAGCAAATGCACATATGTGCATAAAAGCATATGCTCATCTATCTCAAAAATTAAATCATACTCTGGAATGGGACACAGCATCGGTTTGAAGCCTAGATGCCTCAACTACACTAGGTACGATTCTGTCATCTGTTGAAAAAAGAAAAGAAATAAAAAAGAAAAAACGTAGGACTTGACAAGACCTCCAGTAAATTCTGGATACTGTGGAGTTTCCAGAAACAAAAAAATACCTATCCATCCATACATATGTACATACATACATCATTAAACTCATTCATCTGTAGATACGTGATAGATCCATTCACGTGTGTGCAGTAATAATCCATTGTGACTTCAGCTTTTTCACGATAAAACAACAGATGCCAACCAAATAAAACTATAATATTGCAGTTCTCTTCATGGAATCAAAGGGGGGCACAAATCAACACCTTGCTCATCAGATAGCATTCCCAAAATTCTATCAACAAGCTCCTGCGCGGCATGCAAAGGCAGCAAAAATAAGAAAGAATCAGAGATTGATATTGCCCAAGGATTTTAAAGACAAGTAAAGAACAAACACCTAAGCAGATCGCAAAAAAAAAAAACCACAAAGAGATACAATTCTTCTTTTATTGTCATTATATACTCAGCAAACAAGTGACCACCATGAGCCAGCAAAGTCAAAAGAAATCGTAGATTGCAAAAGGGGAAAAAAAAATTCAAAATACATAAATGAACAAAGAGTTCCAATCCTATTGTCATGATACATTCTTTTCCAATATTCTTTTTATAAGAATTGAGATTGTCATGATATACTCAGCAAACGAGTGACCACCATGAGCCAGCAAAATCAAAAGAAGTCATAGATTGTAAAAGGGGAAAAAAAAATTCAAAATACATAAATGAACAAAGAGTTACAATCCTATTGTCATGATACATTCTTTTCCAATATTCTTTTTATAAGAATTGAGAAAGGGAGGAGTCATGGAAACAGCAACTGAAGCTAGCTGGTTATGAAACTGACAAGAAATTAAAAGACTCAGAAATTACTGAAGGAAATTACTATAATATCCTTAATCTTTAAACCAAGTTTCCACTTCTCTCTCCTTGACGTAGAAGAAGCTCTCTTCTATAAAGACTGAGAGTGAGAGAGAAGATCCACTGATTCAAAGGGTTTCGTCCAACTCGTTTTTTTATTAAGTTGCAGAGTGAAACTTAAAACTCAAGAAGACTCGAGAGAGAGAAAGAATGAGTGAAAAAGAGAGACTGTGTTTGAGAGAAGATCCTCAAGAAAAAGTGTGTGAAAGGGAGGAAGGAGAGATAGTGAGAGCGAAGTTTTAGAGATAGAGGTGAAAGATGAAAGTTTCAGAGAGTGAAATAAAGCTGCCAAGACCTAAAGCCGACTAAAAGGAAGATTTTATATTGAATATAAGTAAAAACTACTTCTCTTAGTGCTAAAGTTATATGGAGAAAAACAAAAACAACAAAAAGTCTATTGCAAATTACTTTTAGTACTCTCCCAAACAACAAATAAGTCTTTATGCTGAGTACTTTTATCGCACCAGTCAATTACTGGCGATAACAAAGGCATCCAAACAGGCCCAAAAATAATTAAGTTGTGGACACAAATAGACAAGGATAAATAAATCAAAGAAGAAAACCACAAAAGCTTTTTTTTTGGGTAAGTAAACTACAAATGAATTAGTTACAAAAAGGTCTCAAACATGTCATTGCAGATTTAAAAAGGAATTGAAGGACCCAGAATATGCAGCACTGCTTTACCCTTTATTTATGTTAACAAAGATATATTCCACTTGCCAATTGGTATCAAACATCATGCAAGAACTGTTCTACTAACAACATGAAAAGCTCCCAAACCATGCCAAAATAATCTATTTACGTCATGGTGACCTAAAATATGAGCTTTCAACATGCATACCTGTTTCTTGCCTTGCTTTGCAAGGCCCAGCTGAGTGAGAACATCTTTGAGCTCTTTTATACGGAAATAAGACAGTTTATCCTGAAACCAAAACAGAGTTATGGTCATGATACAAATTATGGAAGGGAAACTAAGAGCAAGGGATACTTCAAGAACAACTGCAAACCATACCAACCCCATCTCGCAGGGAAAAATAAATACATGATAAGGATTTCCAACGTAAAGTGTTTCTATGCATGGAAGGATCAAGGAAAATATACAATGTCCTATGAAATAATGTAATAGTTAACCAATACCATAAATAGGAAAAATAGTCCAATATCCAACAGCAGCAGCAGCATCACAGCCTTTTCCCAACTATTTGGGGTCAGCTACATGGGCCATACCCTTGATGAGGCTATAAGTCGCCATATCGTTTCTCACTGCTTCCAACCATGTCCTTTTGGGCCCACCCACTTCAAGGGTAAATGGAACAATATTGGATAGGAAATTCCATTTTGTTGAAATAAACTAAAGAACAAATTCTAGACATAAAACATCAAAGAGAACTCACACTAAGATTAGCTATCTAACTGAAATATTGAGATATGTTTGCTGTTAAGAACATCAAGATTCATACAAGTATGCATCTTAATATATATGACAAGCTAGAAACCATACCTATGACCTCTCTCAACTAAAGAGTAAAAACTTCAAGAGTCAGGGTGGAACATTGAGGTCTGAAAATATACTTCTTTTTTCAAGGATGAAAATATATCTCAGACCTTTGTATGATAATGGAGCCAAGGTTTCATCTAGCGTCAAAAAGGGATAAAGCATTTTGAAGCAATCCCATCTAAAACTCCGATAGATGTTGACAAAAAAACACACCATCAATGTTTACAATCAACAAACCCCATATAAGTTTGGATTTGCGTGTGCATTTTTTATGGATGAAATGGGGAAAACCCACTCCAAAGGTCTTAATCAAAACAACAAAACACAATGTTGGCGGATTTAAACCCGAGGATCATGCAAAAAAAATTTACAATCAACATCCTTTTGCAGCAGCATTGATTTGCGTCTACACAAACGGCAATTACATACACAAGTAAAATTATCAGAATTTGATTTACAAGCATGAAAAGCCTTTCCCCTTGCAAATAAAAAGAAAAACAAAAGACGCCCTGCCTTCAAGTTTCAAATTGGTTGGGGAGGAAAAGGAGTGTGGGGGAGGGGGGGGGCAGGGTGGGTGTTTGGGAGTGGGGAGGTTGGGTGGGACTAGAAGGACAAAGCAAAACAATAGTAAATCTAAACCAAGTGCTACTATTTGGTACTCAAGGATTAGATGCACAGAAATTTACAGTGTCCCCAGATATAGGTGGCGGTTATAGATGCACTGCATGAAAGCAAGCCCACAATGCCCTCAAATGCCAACATCCATTTAAACCCGCCTATCAACATCAGACTGTTGCAGTCTTGAAAACTCTTATTTGCATTGGATTGGCATAAGAAACACGATCCATAACCAATGTTAAACTTCTACCTTACTCTTCACAAAAAGAGTTTTATAATCATCACAAACAATGAGAATGCATTACCCAAGTTACACAGACACAAATGTGATCCTTTCTATTGCTTATCTTAATCCCCATATTTCAATTTGTTCAGGGCTTTAGGCAACAGTCTCCATGATTTCATTCAAATCCACACTTAAAAGCTGCATGGACTATTGGAACAAGAAGGGAAATTGCTGTAACAGATGCCACACAAGGCATTATGGCGTTGAAAATTACAAGACACGCTCCAGCCATCACCAGCCAATAAAATCTACATAGCAGTCTGATGCCCCCGGGCAACCGTGGTGGTTGAAAATGCAAGAAGCTCCGCCCCATCCGCACAAGCCTTGAAAAAGGACAGTATCCATCCACAAAATTGTAACCATCCACAAAATTGATGTCATGATCCAGACGAGAATATGGGAGTGGGATATCAAAAATTTAAATTTGTATAAAAATTAAAGATACCACTTTATTGAAAATAATGAATGGAAGACTTCAAAGGCCTTATATCTTTTATGGAAAAGACATAGGGACTTTGTAGATGCATCTTTATGGGAGAAAGTCAAAATAGGCCCACAAGTTCATGAATGCACAGCATCACAGGTGTAATTTTTAGTTAACAATACAGTTTGCCCCCAACAGTGAAAAGAGAAGAGATACATACAATAAGTAAACCCAAAACACCAAAAAAAAAACAAACTAAGAACTCCAAAAACAGAAGTCACCACCAAGAAGGCTAGAGAGCCCCATTCCTTCTCTTGCCATAAAACTAGAAAAGTTGGGAGACTTCTTACATGAACAAAAAATATCACAAATAAATGCATCACAAATGCGCACCTAACAACATTGAGGCTGTCCCCATTCAATTGTTAAAAAATGGTGTTTGAGGCCAATTAATCCATCACTAAGTACAAATTTTTGCTTGAGACTAGGATGAGCATCAAAAAAATAAGTACATGAAGTAAACTCATCAGGCAAAAATTCTGCTCAAAAAGAATTATCCGCACACCCATAGGACAAGAAGATACTTTCCATGCAGCAGCAACGAATAAACAAAAATAGATGGACCAATGTTTTGGACGTGAACTTCTGTCAATCTCAGCTCGAAAATGCATGTGGGGTCTACCATGAAATAGCAACAGGCACCATTGTCCAGTTAACTTTTGAGAGCACAATCTACTAGTCCATCAGCAAGCAAATTGTTCTGATACTAGCAGACTCCTTAGAGCTATCGCCCTTGAGATGATATCCTCCCTCAACCTCTTGCAAACCCTCTCCAAGCTAGAGTATCATGAAGATACACCTCCATCTCTCTTTGCTGAGACTGCAAAGAATAGGAAAAAGGCAAAGCCTCCAAATAGCCCAACACTCTAGCAGGAGGCTCTAGAAACAGAGATGGTGAAATAAGGAATCACATGGAACATATCAAACAGGTGAAGGGAAAAATTCCTGATATCACCGAAAGTATAACAGTAAATCCATGTATGACCACAGAGTTATCTTCCCACATAAGGCAAGCATTGGGAAAGTGAAGAACTGAAGACAACAATGTAGGGAGATGGCTCACAATGAAAACGTTGTATATAATCACCCAAACATAAAGCTCTTAAGGATCGCAGGATACTCAAAATCAAGATGGATGGGACCTGTTGTTAATATCATAAAGCACCAACTTAAAGAATAACTGGGGAAAAATCAAAAAGGCATTACATAACAAGACTAAAAGATCACATCAACTCCAATGATAAAGACGACTTACAACAAGAATTCACACAGGACCCCTACCTCACCATCCGTTCGAGACCTAATAAAACTAAGGCAACACACAACAACTCATCACCCTCATTCCGGAAAAGGCACCAAAAAGTAATTGCCAAGAATACAATACTCATGAAACAAGACTTCAGAGTCATGTTACCTTGACATAGCAAACTGCCCTAGATTTTGTGTGAAACACACATTGAGCTATGTTACCTAGCAGCTTTTATATGGCTTTCTTTCAGGAATTTCCCATATGGTGAACTAATGGGATGCCTAAGCCTCACCTCTTCTGAGAAGTTTGTATACTTTATATCTTAGTACTATATTGTGAACAGTTTCAAAAAAAAGTCGGAGACTAATATATCATGAAAGGCAGTGAGAATTTCATGATATAGGTAAAAGACTGGCTACACTAACATAATGTTGACTGATGGTTCTTGAGAACTCTCTAAAGAACATTTCCACACTCTTCACTGTGCAAAAATAACAACAATTACCCTTATCACACCTTTGCATAGAAGGCAGACCAGCTAAACATCCATCTACTAATAAAGATATAATAACTGCATACAGTCCATTGTTTAAAAAAAAAAAAAAAGAGTGACACCATATGTTCATTAATAAAAAATTTACAAAAATCTCACAAGAAGTGAGTATGGGTATGCCACAAGTAGGGTGCTCTTAAAAAAAATACAAAAGTAACCACAAAGCTTCTGTTTATAAAACAAGTGAAGAAAGAAAAGAAGACATCAAGGGTGAGTAGAAGGGATAGTGAAGAGTGAGAAAAATGTTTTTGTTTATGGGGTCTCTTTTCTTTCTTTCTTTTTTTTCTTTTTTTTTTTTCGGGGGGGAGGGGGGGGGGGGGGGGGGGCGGCATAGTTAGCAAGTTGGGGAACAATAAAATATTGCCAGACCAAAACATTGTTAATAAATTGGTTGTATTTCAAAAAGTCGGAGGAAAAACTTGGGTCAAAAATACGGATTGCCAAAAAATAAGGTAAGTTAGAGAATCGCGAATATTTTGGATTTGGTTCAAAAAAATGTAGTGAAAAAATCGGATATGTAAAGATGAGACAATATAGGATTATGATTTGCAAGTATTGTATAAATATATTAAATCCATTAAAAAATAATTTGATAGCCTTACTAGTGTCATTAGAGTAATATTTGACAATTTTTTGTTGAAACTTTCATTAAATCCAACGACAGTGCTTACTCTGTTTTCACAGTACAAAACATATTGTAGATTTATTGGGAGCATAAAATGAAACAACAACAATATTAAACACAAGAACTAATTAGCAAATAACAAGAACTGTGAACCAAGGTATAGTATTATTTTTCAAAAAAAAAGAAAAAAATGGACTCAATGTAGGATTGCAATTAATTAAAAGAAAACACAAAGAACAAAATATGAAAAATAGTGGTCCATCCAAAATGCTATGTTGTATACACCAATGAAATATAAAATATAAAAAATATGAAATTAATCAAACTTCTCTATGCAAAAAAAAAAGCAACCAAATGCTTAAGCAATTTCGAATCTTGCACTGAATTCCTAGATACCTAAATCTTTAGTATCAATGAATCTCTCTCTTGCTCTTTACAAGGATGTTATGGGTTTAAAGAAGAAGAAAAAAAGATTTTTCATTGGTTACTCTTCTTCTAATTCTACCTATTATTTTGAGATATACGATTGTTTTGATTACTTGTTTTGGGGAATATATTGCATGTATTTTTTCATGCACTTTTTTTAAGTGAACTCGTTGGTGAATTTTTTTTTTTTGATAACTGTTACTCATTGGTGAAATTTTTGATGGAATCTTTGTTAAATCAAGATTCTTAATTTACTCCCACTGTTAATATACTTATCTTTAAATCAAAATTCAATAATATTAAGTAAATGAAGAAATAAAGTTATAGGGAAGAAGTGTATTTGAACAGTTTTTTAAAAAAAAGATAAAATACGAATTTATATCGGTTCCATTAAAAAAAACACAATTTTTTGAAGATATTTTGAAAAACTAAGGGGGGAAGGGGGGTTGCTTGGGGGTGGAGAGAAGGAATAAATAGGAGGGAGGAAGGGAGGGGGAGAGGGGAGTATGAGAGAGAGGTGGTGTTTCGAGGTGTGCAACCTACACAATGACAATCCCTCGTACATATATCCTGAAACATATTGAGAAGGGAGAGGCAAAGTGAGGGTAGAAGTGTAGGAAAAGGGGAAAAGAGTCAGAAAAGGTAGAAGGAAAACATAAAGGGAGGGGAGAGAAATCCTAGAGCAGGGTGATATCTACTGTAAAGAACATCCTACACGGATCTGTTTCTTTTTATCTTTTCCTAACTCCCTAACAGTCCATGCCAAAACCTTCATGATTGACCATTATTAGCAACCCTGGCCTTTTTGTCTGCACTCCCCTTCCAAAAACTTTCTGGAACAGTAGTGTAAGACATTCCAAGTATTAAAGGGCAACTTAGATGTTGATAATCAGAGCAATGTCAGAAAAATGAATATAACGTCAAAATTACCAATCATTCATGAAGGAATAGCCTAAATCCCTAAATCCACCACTGGTTTGGGGCTATCATACAGAAAAAAGGAGAAAGGCAGACCTCAGGACTATCTAGAACCACACAAAGCTGAACTAAGAGCATTCGTTTGGTGACAGGAACTACACCCCTTATGTTGATAATTTATAAATGGGGGATAGCTTTTCAATATCTTCCACAAGTCAAAAAAACATGTACTCATGAAATGATCAGCCATAAAATGGATGCCTCAAGCTCCACGACAGTGTGTGGTAATAAGTACACATTGCTTCAAGACATCTCATCAGAGAGAATAATTCAATGAAAAAACATCAAACAAGAATAAAAGGGGGGATGTGCTTATGAGAAGATACAAATCATGCAAAACCCCAGAGCCAAAAACCTATGAGGAAGAAAGAATTCTATATTCACTTTGACATCAAGTAAGAGGATTTTTTTCTTATTCTTTTTTGCTCCATTACAACAATATTCCACTAGCAACAAATGAGGTGATGCAAGATAATAGCATAAACTAAATCAAATTGAATTTTGGAAGAAAAGCATATTATTAGATATCTAAAATTACCAAACACCAATACACATCACAATATCATCCAAAAGACCAAAATGCCTGCTTCTAGCATGACCTCAGTATGCAAGGCACCAATTTGCAATTATTTTGAAGCAGGAAGTTGGTTTACAACTATTGGTCTTCCAACAGAGGATCCAAAGACTATTAACAAACCATAATTCACCAACAAACGACATGATGATAGCAAATAATTCAGAAGAATATAAAAAATTTCAGGATAGGAATCGAACCTTGGAGCGAGAAAGCAAGTCCATTGTTCTTCACGCAGAAGATGCACAACCCCTACTGTCGAATTCCTCAACGAATTGCAGGAGCATAATCCATACTTGGGATAGCAAGGAAAGGAAGAGAAGAGGTATTATACAAGCCCCAATCACAAAGGAGAAATAATTTCCCTAGGTGAACGCCCCAGCCCCGAGAAACCAATCAATCTAATTCGACAGAAGGGGAAATCAAATTAGAGACAACAGTGAACACGACTTCAAAAGCGGAAAACAGGGGCCTCTACAAACAAAATCACCAGAAGGAAAGAAAATATAAAGCAGCATCACGGATAGAACGGAAATGAAACGAAGAACAAGAACAATCCCATTTATTGAAACCCTGGAAATTGAAGATGGTGCGATCCATGAGGACCAGATCAAGAGAGAGACGGGGATAGCGCGCACCAGAGAGAGAAAGAGTTGGGTTTAGCAGAAGCAGCAGCTAATGGCTCGTCCTCAGCGTTGGCCCTCGCACCGCATCACAATGGACGAAGCCAAATTGTAAAACTAATCGATCCAGCCACTTACCTAGAAAGAGAAAAAAGAATGAGAGAGAAAGTGAGGCCCGCACAAACTGGGAAACTCTTAATCTCTCTCTACATATATACATACACGAATTAATTACGGTTTATTGTGATTTGGAGTCCGACAGTCAATCGATTCCCATTGTAGTTGCGGCGGCTACCAGGCATGACCAGCGTGAGAGAGAGAGAAAGGGCAGCAACAAAACCCCACTTCCCTTCCCCCTTGAGCATATGTGCTTTTTTTTAGGTTCACTTTTAGTCCGTAATAATTCATAAAACGAGATCGGAATAAGAGAGGACAGCATGAATTTTGTTCATGGCCGAGCAAAAAGTTAGAATTTAGTGTGATTTAATGTATGCTATGGCCTAACTAGTGGCTTTTCGCTCTTGAAAAACCACATTTATAATGCGGGCGCACCTAAAAATAATTTAAATGCCCTTCAAATCAGTTCGATTTACTTTGGAACTCTATAAGACCTCTAAATTCTACCTGACTGTTGGCCGTTCTAATTTGGGCAGCATAAATCTAATATTAGAATCACATTATATTTTAGGCATTTATGGGGCTCGGTGTACTTCTTTTTTCATGAATCTTGATGCATGGGGATGTTTTGGGAATTTTTCTGGCACTCGCACTTGAAATGTGAGTGTCAGTCTCAACCAAGTTTTTTGTGAAGTATCATTTCCCTTTAAAATTTCATGCAAAGCACCATTCAACTTAATAAATTGGTTTTTCGATAGTGTATTTCTTTTTTTTTTTCTTTTTCTAAGAGTTAGCTCAGTGGTAGGAGTCAAACTTAGGATCCAGTGTTTTAAATTTTGAACAACCAACCATTCAAGCCCAAACACGATTCCTTTGATTGTATGATTTATACTAGGTACATTTAGCTTTGGTATAAGGAGGTCCAATATCCCCCCATCCAACACATGTAAAATCCAAACTAAAACTATTTATCAGTAAGGGTTTAAAAACTTTGCAAGTCAGCTTAGGACTTGACCAAGTCAACTGTCTTAAGGACTCTAACAAGTGCAGTAGAAATACTACGAGATTAGCCCATGTTTGCCACTTCTATAAAGATCATTGCCATAGACTCGACTGAGACTTATGGACTCTTGCCCGAGTCTTAACTAGTGTAACTTGGCTTAGGGACCCTGGGAGTCTTGAGTTGAATCTAAGTTTCAAAATATTGAACTGGAAGTGGAAGAGAACAAGGTTTAAAAATACAATTATCTAAAGGATTAGAATAGGAAGCAGCTGGGGAATGATGACCAAGGGCATGAAAGTAAAAAAATTTGAGAATGAGACCATAATTCTAGACACAAGGTCCCCGGAACTATGATTCAATATAAATTGATTTAAGGTATTCAATATAAATTGATTTAAGGTAGCTGAGGTGTCACGACCCTACCCTCTGACCCCTACCGTACTTGTGGGAGGGCGACAGAGTGCAGGATCATGACTAGAAGTCGCGAACGTCACTCAGGTGGGAGCGACTCAACGTGTTAGAAATGCGGAATCAAAGCAAACCATGAAAGAAAAATAACAGGTCATACATCAAGCTCCACAAAAATAACATAATATACAACCATAAAGACCATTTTATACATACATTCAGTCTTCAAAAATCTTTACAAACACGTGCAAGGCACAATAAGGCCTGACAACAAAATTTCAACCTTTCATCAAAGCAACACTATGGCGTTGCCACCAAACAACTACTATCAAAAGGTTTCCTGTCACGACCCTGCCCCGACCCCCTTACCATTCGAGACGGAGGGCGACCGAATGCAGGTTCGTGATCCTAAAGTAGCGTTTGTCAATATGGTCGGGATGAACTCAACGCCATTATTTCGGGAATCAAAGGAAACCATGGAAAGATAAATGCATCAGTAATTATAAATGCAGGGGCAAATTATTAATTTAAAGCTCCATATATTAACAAAAGGGCTTTACATAACATTTTTCCAAAAAATTACATATGAGTCTAGGGCATCAGGGTCCAAGATTTACAATAGACAAAATCTAGGGCTAGTTTTCCCAACCACATACAAGATCTAGATCCTGCTTCTAAAAAGTCTGGCTTCACATCCTTCGAGAATCCCCATCGTTCCAACTCTTTGCATGTTGTTATCAGTCAGCAAGGAAGGGAAGGAGAAATGGGGTGAGCTACATAGCCCAGTAAGTAGGTCTAAGCGCTATGCATCAATAATGAGCCTACTCAAGAATCATAAACAATTTATTTAACTATACGGAATTTCAGTGCAGCAGTCATGAAAATTAGCGATCAGGTCAGTGCATCAATTATAAACATTCTATCCATATATCAGTTATCAGTCAATCGATTCAATCATCGGCATTCCCAATCACTATTCAATCATTACCCACTCACTCCCTAGTCCACTTACTCCCGCAGTAGAGGCCCTATCCATCGGGCTAAGCCAATCACATGGCTTAGGGCCTTTAGCATCTACTAGGAGAGAGGGCAATGACAAGTAAAGAAATCCACTTCGTAATGCCCTCATACTCACACACATGGCCTCTAGCACGTATTGAGGGTTCAATAGGCACTTACCTTGCAAAGTGTCAGTCGCTAATATCACCTCAGTAAAACTCGGGGAGTACAACCCTCCCATTTCACTTTTCCCCTAACTGCATCATATAATTCAGCAAGTTAGGGCATATAGCCGGAATCACTTTTCTCTGTATAGCAATCCTCACTACCGATGGGTGCCCCATCGTATAGCGAGCAGTATCAATGAAATAATGGCCAGTATCACAGTATTATCATAGAACAGTGGCCACTACCAATGGGTACCCCATTGCGTAGTAGACATTATTATGACCTCTTATCATGTTCAGGCATTAAATTTCATTCATGCTACATCAGTGCATTATAACAGATAAATCAAATTTTCATCATGCAAGAATGGAGTCTTACTCAAAATCATCCAGCATTCATCACAAAATATAACATTTTTCGTGAAGTATCCATTGTATGAGCTACACCCGACATTTACACTTAGACGTCATTCATCATAGAATAATCACCTTAATTTTGCACTTATCCCTTTATCACATTGTACATAGTTGCGTAGCACCTTATACATAACACTATGACAATAGCATGAGAACATCTCATGATACTCACATTTATCACTTACTAAAGATGTTACATAGCTACTTGAATAGCTTAATAAGTAATTTAAAGGTGGAAGAAAACAAGCATAACAATAATTTAATGAGGTGCAACAGTGACATAACCCTCTTCTCATGGCATAATTTCCCAATCTAGGGAGATTTTTTTAAATATTTTAAACGTGCAACATTAAGTTCATGCCCAGGGCTTTAAAATAGCGGTGCTTTGAAAATTTTTGAAGGACTTCTGATAGGTCAAAAGCTCAACTCAAAATGATTGAAAGTTACTTAAAATTCCTGCAACAGTGGGTCGTAATGTGCTCACATATTTTGGGACATAGTTCAAAATCTAGGAAGAATTTCGAAAACTTCAAAACATGCAACTTGGAGCTTATTCACAGACCTTTCTAACATGGCAGTTTGAAGACGTTTGGACGTCGTTTGCTAGGCCAAAGACGTGGTCCAGAAAGAGTCACAGTTGATGGAATTACAGTGACTATGAGTAGTGACATGCGTCAATCTTTTAGGGCGCATCTTTCAATCCATGCAACATTTTAACACGACACCAGGAGAAAACTTCAAATAGTGATCACTGAAAAGTTTGTTTCAAAAACCCTTATAGTTCGTGGAAATTTTCCACTTTTTAGTTTAGGGATGATTTCAAGCATAATACCCCATTCCACCAGCCAAAGTAAGCATCCATACAAGGTCTTGATCATGATAAGTAAATAAAACAAACTCTTGCAATTAATTACTCCATTGTTTATCGAGCAATGTTCAATCGCTCATTCCACTTCATTCCTACCTTCTATTATACTAGTTTCTTTATCGTATTTACCCAAGTTTAATCCAGTCCAACGTAAGTGAAACATAGCACTAAACCCACTTACCTTGACTCCCACAGTGTCTTCAATCTCCACTCATGGCCTTCATGGGCTTTCCTTAGCTTCTTCAGTTGGCTGTCTTTAAAGGGGCAGCAGTGAGCTTCAAAAAAGAGAGAGAGAGAGAGTTGAGAAATGGAGGAGACTGTGTTGCCCAAGGGAGGAAAAAGGCTTAATGGAAAACAATGTGGCTGATGCAATCGCACGCGGCTCTGACATGTACGGCAGCCGTACATTTGACCAAGATACTCTCGACGCTGCCCTCAGTTCAAGCACGGCGTTGCTCTTACTTACTCTCATCCTACAAACGATGCTGGGTCACAGACGGTGCTACGCCCTTCACTTCACAGACGACGATGAATCTTTCTTCTTACACAGCCGACGCTGCGTCTTCTTACACAGTCGATGCTGCGTGCAGTCGGCGGCGTTGCGTCTTCTTACAAAACCGGTGCTGCGTCTTCTTACACAACCGACGCTTCGGCTTCTTACACAACCAGTGCTGCTTCTTCTTACACAGCCGGCGCTGCGTCTTCTTACACAGTCAGCGCTGCGTCTTCTAACATAACCGGTGTTGCGTATTCTTTCTCTCTCTACCACAGACGACGCTAAGCCCTTGTACACGTGCAAAGATGCTCCAAACAGCGCTAGGCCTTTGCCTCACCCTCCATCATCGTGCGCGTCACTGCGCAGGGAGAAAATTGTGGTCCTTACATCACCCCCTCTTAAAAAGGATTTTGTCCTCAAAATCATATTAACATTAGCCAAAAAGGTGAGGGTATTTCTCACAAAATTCATCCTCATGTTCCCATGTTGAATCTTCCCTTGAGTGATATTGCTATTGCACCCGGACTAGGGAAATTTTTTTATTGCATAACACTTGTACTCTCATGTCTAATATCCCAATTGGTCATTCAACATAGGTCAAATCTTCCCTGAGCGGGATTGGTTCATACTCCAAGACATGGGATGGGTCAGGTTGATATTTCCTTAGCAGTGATATATGGAAGACATTGTGGATATTGGCCAGTTCAGGTGGTAGGGCA